AGCGCCAGGATGAAGGCCCACAGCTCGGCCCTCGGGACCGTCTGCCTGGGCCCAGGCAGGCCGGCCACGATGCCCGCCACGACCATCGGGGAGCCGCCCGCGTTCTCGACGAAGGCGCTCATGATGGCCACGCCGACTCCGCCCTGTCGGAGCCTGGGGTCGTCGCTGCGCTCGCCCCCGAGCCGTCCCCAAAGGCGTCGAGGAAGCCGTCGGTCCCGCGCTGGTGCTCGACCTCCTCCCAGCTGCCCGTCTGGCGCACGAAGTCGGAGGCGCCCTCGGGGTACGTGTACCGCGTCCAGCTGGCTGGCGGCAGGCCCCGCAGCTTCAAGCACGGCACCATCTCGTGACCCTCCATCGCCTTGTCGAGGCCCTGCGTGGTGGCATAGTCCTCGTGCCCCTGGTTGCACGGGCAGGTCCAGACCCTGTGCAGGAGGGTCTCGCGCTGTCCGCAGCGCGGGCACAGGTCCGTGCTAGCGAGGTCTCGCCCCTGCTGCAGAACCCTCGTCCGGGAGGCGCCCGTCATGACCTTGCAGCTGCAGCGCCCAGGTGCTGTGGTCCCCTATTGCGCTGCAGGCGGGCCAGCGGCCTCCTGGCCTGATGGAGGTCGGGACCCCTTCGAGCACCTTCCCAGCGTCGTTTTGCGCCGCACTGCGCCACCAAGTACGCTTGATGCTGGCAACCACTTCCTCCAGCAACTCGGCGCCGTCGACCCCGTTAGGTCCTTCGCTCATCCTCCACAGCTCGTCGACGTCCGACTACCACTCGACGGCCGTGGTTTACCTCCCATCCTGCCGTCAGCAACGTGCAGAGGAGGAGGAGGAGGAGAAGGAGGAGGAGGAGGAGGAGGGGGAGGAGAAGGGGGAGGAGAGGAAGGAGGAGGACGAGAGGAGGGGAAACCCCCGCTCTTGGCCGGTGTGCCAACATGTTCAACACCGGCTCAGCCCTCGGGGGTTGAGCTGGGTGTGGCTGCGTTCGACGAGACCTGTAGCCATCAGAAGATCAGGAATCAGTGGTGCCAATGCCGTCACGTCGCAGCTCGCAGGAGAGGGGTACAAAAGAGCATTCCGATAGGCACGCGACGTCCCTCGTCCAGAGCCCGCGCCGTGCTGCCCGGACGGGCCAATCGAAGTTCTGGGCAGGGGGCCCCGCCACTCCCCGCCAGAGCCTGCCTGCAGACCCCTGGAATGCGTGGGCCACCGCTCGAGGGGCCCACGCGGCTGGGCTGCAGTCCTCCCGTGAACTCTGCAGAAAAGTTGTCCTTCCCCCGTCTGGGAGACATCTAGACATGTCTTAGGAGCAAGGAAACGCGACACCACCACCACCACCACCAGGGACCACCAGCGGAAGGAGCCAGGGGGGTGTTCCCCCTGGTGATGTGGTCACCACTCTCGCTCAAGGCATCCGCTATCCCCACCTCGGGGAGGCTTCGTGGACCTTCTCGCTGGAGGTGGCCTCTCTGGTGGTGGTGTCGTTTCTCCTTCACACGATTTCCGAGGAGAGGACGAGGCGGAGGAAGAGAAGGAGGAGGAGAAAGAGGAGGATGGAGGAGGTTGCGTATGGCCCGCCCTGATCTAATCAACTGTCGGGGGTCCGCTCAGATCTCTTGCATCGGCGCTGCCACCTCCGGCGCCACCCCTGGCGCGTTCCGCGCGCCAAGAAACAGACTCCAGCTCTGGTCCAAGAATTTCTCGGACCAGAGCTGGAGGAATTCCTCCGAAAGGATGTTTCGACTCCGCTTGGTCCAAGAATCTCTTGTCTCAGCGGGGAGTTCTGAATTCCTCGCGGACATCCGAAAGTGTACAGTCAACCCGTGCAGTAAGGATTCGCGGTAAGGATGCAAGGGCCTTGGGAAGCCATGCTGACGCCGTTCGAACGGGGCTGGCCAGAGAAAGATGCCAGCGATGTGCCGAAGGGGCAAGGGATGCAAGGGCAACCTGGGAAAATCGTTCATCCTTACTATGCGGGCTTGCTGTATGCTTATGCCCTTTGTATTGTTTTCTGGATCAGGGCAGCCCAGCCGCCACCCTCTCATCCCCTCCTCTCCTCAGAACTAACCCGATGTCCCCGCCCGTAGAGGTCTCCAAGACGAGGTCCGAGCAGATAGGGCTCGGAGGACCGCGCCGCACCGCCGCGACATCGGCGACGCATCGGCGATGCACTGGCGATGCATCGGCGACGTCGACGCGAAGCAGATCGGGCCCCGCGTCGAGCCGCACCGCTGATGCAGCGGCGATACGGCGCGAACCTCCGACCCCATCCACTCCGACCCCATCTAGGAGGCCCACAGCCCTCTCGGGAGCGGCCAAGAGGGGGGGTGCAAATCATGACCGGCGGCACGTGCGCGGCCCAGCGGGGGGGCCTGGGACGTAATGAAATTCGCCGGCCCAACGGGCCAGAGGCGTGCTAAGATCTCCGGTAACTGGTTAACAATTCTCTAGTTCGCGCGCGCGGGGCGGCCCCTGGGGGTCCCCAGACGAAAAGTACCCCGGGCGGGTCCCGGCTGATCCCCGGGCGACTCCACCAGAGCGCTCCACGAGCGCACCAACAGGGCTCCGAGACGTCCCCGAGAGCCCCAAGAAAGGCCAAGAGGCCCCCAAGAGGCCCCCAAGATGGCACACGAGGGGTCCGACATGCCACAAGATCGCTCCAACACGCCCAAGATAGCCCCCAGACGCCCCAAGAGGCCTCCAAAAGCACTCCCAAGAGGGCCCCAGGAGGCAAAATTCATTGTTTTTCCTTAGGTTTTTGAGAGATTTTGGAATTTCCACCTTTTCGGCTTCCCGACGCCCCAAGACGGCCCAAGAGGCCCCCAAGATCGCCCCAAGAGGGCCCAAGAGGGCTCGAAGACGGCCCAAGAAGCCTCCAAGACGGTCCAAGAGGGCCCCAAGAACGCTCCCAAAGGGGCCCCAGAGAGGGAACACGAAACAACATGTCGAGCCCTCGGCCCTAAGAAGCCCCCACGAGGCCCCAAGACTAAGAGGCCCCAAGAGGCCCCCACGAGGCCCTCAGGAGGCCCCCAAAGGGTCCCCCAAGCGGCCCCAGGAGGCCCCCCAAATGCCCCCCCGAGCACGCAAGCAAGTGCAAGCGATGCTACAATGTGCTCTCCTTTCGGTACACTCCCAACGGGGCCCCTACAGACTTGCAACAAGCGTCAAGAACCTGCCCAAAAAGCACTGTCCAGGAGCGTTCACAAGTGCCGCGAAGAAGCCCTCCTTACGCCGGAAAGCCCGGAAAGCCGGGTGGGGTGAGCTGTTCTTCTCACCACCGCGCCCTCTCACACAATGGCTTCCGCACGCCGCCCAGAGCGCGATGCCTCCCATCACACCCCCGACGACGACGACGACGACGACGACGACGACGACGACGCTCCAGGAGCGCGCCAAAACGGCACCGGAACGCCCCCGAAACAATCCAAGCGGCCTCAAGTCGCCGAACAATCGTTCCAAATCGCCCAAGATTACCTCAAAATTGTCGTCGAGGCCGCCAAGAAGCCCCAAGAGAGCCTCAAGAGGCCCTCCAAGACGGCCATTACAATCAAAAATCGTCCCATTCCCAGTGGACAATGTACACTTCCCGCATGAACGGCGGTTCGAGTTTCACAGCGCCTCAGACTACGCAAATAGCCCCCAACATCGCCCCGAGACAGCCCAACAATCCGCTAAAATCGGCCCAAGACGGCCCAAGATAACCCCAAGACGGCACAAGAGAGCACCAAGACCGCCCGAGAGGCGACCAAAGGGGGATTCTGCCCCTAGGAGCACCTCAGAAGCCACCAACATCCCGCCAATAAGTCCCCCAAGACGCCCCAAGAACCACCCAAGAAGCCCAACAAGAAGCCCCAACGACCCCCAAACGACCCTTACGGGGCCTCAAGAGGCTTCAACACTGCCTCCAAGAGGTTCCCGAGACGCCTGGCAAAAGAACCCCCAAAGCGCCGCATTGACACCAGGCCCTCGGGCAAACGGCAGACATGAGACTGTATGGGTCGGCGGAATGAGCGAAGCGATTAAATAAGAAGAGGCGCCCTGAAATCTGGGGAAATATCATGGCCCCCGCCATGATGTCCACCCCCCCCTAGTCATCACCCCCCCCTTTGCCGCCCCCGAATCTAGGAGGCCCAAAGCCCTCCCACCCTCCGCCCCATCCCCGGGCACACGCCGGCATGGACTGCGGCCCCGTGGCCCTGGCGAGCTGGGGCGCCCGAAACACACAGCGCCAGCGCCGCCCGAGTGCTCTTGGCGGCGCCAGGCGCGCCGCGCCTCTGCGAGCGAGCGGGGCCCGCTGCCAATCCGCGCGCTGGAATCCGTGATCACTCCGTCTTGAAGCCCCGCCTCCCCCGCCTCTCCCCCACCTCTATCCGACTCTCGAGCCTCGAGCCTCGAACCTCGAGCGCGGGTGCCCGATCCTCGGTTCTCCCTCCTCCCTCCCCCCTCCCTCCATTCTCGTACCTCCTCCTCGTCCTCCCCCTCCTCCTTCTCAACCTCCTCATCCTCCTCATCCTCCTCCTCATCCTCCTCCTCATCATCCTCCTCCACCTCCCTCCTTCTCGGGCTGGAGCTTTATCTGTTCCACCCAACCCCCGTTGTCTTCTCATCGACGTGCTTTCGTGGACTGCCTGACCCGACCCGACCTAACCTCCCTCCATCCTCCCCCAGCCCTCCTCCTCCTCCTCCTCCTCTTCCTCCTCCTCCTCCTCCTCCTCTTCCTCCTCCTCCTCCTCCTCCTCCGTCCTCACCCTCCCCCCCGGGGAAACCAACAGGTACCAATACTGCAACTCACCGGACATCTCCAGGGGCGTGTTCTGCCCAGAATTCCGAGGCGAGTCCAGCAACGGCGACGAAGGCCTCCTGGGAGGCCCAGGAAGGGAAAAACGAGCCGAGCGCAGCGGTACGGGTACCTTTCCTCCTCTGACCCCCTCCTCCCTCCCCCCCTCCCTCCCCTATCCCCACGTTTCGGTCACGCCCCGCCCCGCCCCGCCCCCCCCCCGCTCCGCGCACGGCCTGCGAGCCGCTCAGCGGAGCGGGCTGCTGCCACTGCTGCTGGCCGTGCCAAGCCTGCGCCCCCCGGCCGGGGGGGGCGGGGGGGGGCGGCGCGCAGGGAGCCGGTGGGCGGGGCGGGGAAGAGACTCGGGTGGCATCTTCGCTATTTTTTGAGGCTCTCCCTCTGAAGGGGCCCCAGGACACACAAATAAGTACACACAAATAAGACTGGTCCCCATGTTTTCCCATATTTTCTGGGTTTTCATCTTCCCCCCCACTTCCCATATTTTCCCATACTTTCTGGGGAATCGACGATTAGTTGTGTCTGTGTGTGTTTTTCCCTCCTGACCCTCTCCCGTCCTCCCCCCCTAAGACGAAGCCAGGACGAGGACAACATCGGGTGACGATAAATCGAGTATCTCCGAGATTCGGCGGTCCTGGAGGATGCATCAAGCGCCGCGACCTTCTCAGAGCGTAGGCACAGGGGAAGAAACATCGACCTGGAATCGGCGATACGTCGCCAATAGAATGGCGGTAGGTCCTCGTTAGTCAGTCCGCACCTTCATGGGCGGGGGTGGGCTATCCGGCCTGGATCGGAGATGAGTGGACAAAAGGGACGCTGGGGAAAGGGACATCTGAGACCGCGGCGTTGCATTTAGACTTCGAGAATTGCGAATGAAAGCGTCACGCGGCGACCTGGTGGGCGAAGCCGAGCGGACTTGAGAAATCGGCATCGCCCGGCTCAAAGGTCCCTTTCCCTGGGGCCCTATCTGGAATCACATGACTCGGGTGGCCCCCTCGTTATTTTGAGGCTATCCCTCTCCCGTCCTCCTGCTCCCCCACCACACTCCCCAGCACGCGCGTGCAGTAGGCACACGCTCGTGCACGCTGTCCCCATCCTGCGGGGATTCCAGTGATCACGACCGTTGCCAGGTAATGGCAGCAGAAAGGCAGCGGCAGCAGCAAACTAGACGGCGTAGGCCTGATGCAAAGGGCAGAGGACTCAGATACCCAAAGGGTGCGTTCGTTCACGGGGGGGAGGAGGGGGTTAAAAAGCGCGTGAGGCACTTGACTGTCCACCCTCCCCATTGCTCCCTCCCCCAGGGTCCAACGTCTTGCTTACAGTAGGAGCTCGAACACAAGAAACCTTCCACAAGAAACCCAACCCTGAGACCCCAGGGCGTCCAGTGATTGTTGGTGTGGGAACTTCACGCTTTCCATCGCAAAACCATCGAAACCCAAGACGCCCAGGGCACCCTGGAGGCAAACAGGGTGTTTCTTGGCATGGGTCTCTTCTGTAAGGGAGGGGGGCTGAGGCGGGTCCCGGGCGAACTCCTCGGAACCTCAAAATCCACGAGCTGTGGCCTCCCAAGATGCCCAAGCCAAGGTACCTCTAGGACGGCTCAAGAAGGGCTCCACCACGCCACAGAGCACTCAAGAACACTCAAGACGGCCATAGAACGGCCCAAGAGGCCCTCGAGACGCCCCACGAGAGCCCTGAGACAACTCCCAAGAGGAGATCAAGAGGCAAAAGCAAGTGTGGAAGCCTCCACTGGAACGTCCTCGACCTCGGATCTCCCGAGGGCGGCGACCACCCGGCAGGGCCCTGCCCCGCGGCAGCTCTGCGCCCCGCCGCCCTCCGAGCGGAGCGGGGGGCCTCCCCGGGAGGCCTCGCCCCTCCGACCCCCGTCGTCGTCGTCGTCGTCGTCGTCGTCGTCGTCGTCGTCGTCGTCGTCGTCGTCGTCGTCGTCGTCGTCGTCGTCGTCGTCGTCGTCGTCGTCGTCGAGGTCGTCGTCGTCGAGGTCGTCGAGGTCGTCGAGGTCGTCGTCGTCATCGTCCTGGCATTCCTGTAGGCCTACCACGACATGCTCTTGGAACCCCAAGCGCTCGAAGGACAAGACAAGGTTCTCGGAACGCGGGCCCGATGCATCAAAACAAGACCGCCTCAGCCAGAAATGCTCTAAGAACAGGTCGAGCAGACCACAACAGGTTCTCAGAACATCCTCTGGTGGGCCGATAGGCGAGCCAGGACGCTGCGCCACTGCTTGACCCCTGCAGTCGCCGCCCCGAGCCTGGGGGGGCGGCCAGCTGTGGCCAGCCAGGCTCGTGCGCGCCCGCTTGGCGAAGGCGATCAGCAGCGCTGAGTAGTCGGCTTCGCCCTCCCTGGGAGGCTTGAACGTCTGCAGCACGCTCCACTGCACCTCGCGGGGCGGGACGCGGATCGCCCTCCTCCGCGGCAGCTGCCGCCACGATAATGCTGAGGCCGAGGACAATGACGACGACGACGACGACGACGACGACGACGACCACGACCACGACGACGACGACGACGACGACGACGACGACGACGACGACGACGATAACCAGCCACGGGAGGCAAACGATCAAACAGACAAACAAGCCGACAACAACAGCAGCAACAATCACACCAACAACAACAACCACAACATCAACAACAACAGCAGCATCAACAACATCAGCATCATCGTCATCAGCATCAGCATCATCATCAGCAGCAGCAGCATCATCATCAGCCTCACCATCATAATCAACAACAACAACAACAACAACAACAACAACAACAACAACAACAACAACAACAACAACAACAACAACAACAACAACAACAACGACAACGACAACGACAACGACAACGACAACAACAACAACAACGACAACGACAACAACAACAACAACAACAACAACAACAACAACAATAAATTCAACAGCAACAGCAACAACCACAACAATAACAGCAACGACAGCAATAAAAACAACAACAATAACAACAGCAACAACAACAACAACAGTAAGTTTAAGACCGTTCGCCCTTATATGCTCGAGTGTCCAATAACGCGTATTTCCCAAACCCTCGATACCCGCCCTCTTCGTCTTCGATCGAACCCCTTTTGGGGGTATGCCTTTCTTCCCTGCAGGCCGGGCCCCGGCAAGCGGCAGGGCGGCCGCGGACCGTCGGCCTGGCCAGCGGCAGCGCTGATCGGCGGGGCGGCCGCGGACCGTCGACCCGACCCCAAGAGGGCAAGAGGGACGGACAGGGGACCGACCACGACGTCGACGACGACGACGACGACGACGAAGACGACGGCGACGACGACGACGACGACGGCGACGACGAGCGAAAGCGAGAGCGAGAGAGAACGACAGCAGGGCCACGAAACGCACGAAGTAGGCCACGAAGGGCGACAGCGGGGACACGAAGGCAATGCGTATGGGGCCACGAAGAGCGCGAACGAGCGGGGGGCACGAAGTGCAGATAATGCGGGGCCACAGAAGGCAACTATGGGGCCACTGAGGGTAGCAACTGGGCCACGTAGGACAGTGAGCAGCAGCAGCCGCAACAACAGCAACAGCAACAGCAACAACATCAACAATCATGTTAATACTGATCGCTCACATCTGCTCGCGTGTCACTCAACACGTAATCCCGAACCTAATTACCCGCCCTCTTCGTCTTCGATCGTACCCCCTTGGGGGCATATCTTCCTTACGTGCAACGTGTATTCCGTGCAGCCCCTGAGGCAGGGGAAGAGAGGACGGATGAAGTAAGGGGCTAGGGGAAAGGAGGAGGATAGAGCATGAGAGAAAGTAGCAGAAGGGGGGCTAGGAGAAGAAAGCAAGTGGAAAAACCAGGCGAGCAGATCGGACGGATAGGCCATGCGGGCGGGTCGGGAAGGTGGGCCCAGGCGGCCAGGTCGAGCAAGCGAGTTGCTGAAACGTGCGTCCTGCATGAATCGCGAGGATGTCTCGAGCGATAGCGTGATCTGCAACAGGGCCACGAAGGGCAGCGAGGGGGCCACGAAGGAAGGGGCCACGAAGGGCAGCGACGGGGCCACGAAGGGCTGCAACGGGGCAACGAAGGGCAGCGAGGGGGCCACGAAGCCACGAAGGGCTGCAACGGGGCAGCGGAGGGCAGCGAGGGGGCCACGAAGGGCTGCAACGGGGCCACGAAGGGCAGCGAGGGGGCCACGAAGGGCTGCAGCGGGGCCACGAAGGGCAGTGAGGGGGCCACGAGGGGCTGCAGCGGGGCCACGAAGGGCAGCGAGGGGGACACGAAGGGCAACGAGGGGGCCACGGAGGGCAGCGAGGGGGCCACGAAGGGCTGCAACGGGGCCACGAAGGGCAGCGAGGGGGACATGAAGGGCTGAAACGGGGCCACGAAGGGGGGGGCCACGAAGGGCTGCAACGGGGCCACGAAGGGCAGCGAGGGGGCCACGAGGGGCTGCAGCGGGGCCACGAAGGGCAGCGAGGGGGCCACGAAGGGCTGCACCGGGGCCACGAAGGGCAGCGAGGGAGTCACGAAGGGCTGCAACGGGGCCACGAAGGGCAGCGAGATCCCAATTCCTAAGTAAGCTGTTAGGGAGTCCTAGGCGTGAGCGCGACTCCTGGGTGCCTGAGTGTCGGGAGCGCGGCGCTTGAGTAATTTGCGGGAAATTTTAAACGCAAGAACGCGATTCTTGAATAAATTGCAAGCAAGTCTCCAGCGACAGCGAAACTCCACAGCGCCGACAGAGCGATTCCTGAGTAAATGCGCGATTCCTGAGTAAAATGCGAGGTCTCAGGTAGGAGCCGTTGTTGTTGTGACCAGGGGGGCAGGGGCGCAATTTGACCTTTGAAATGTTCCGTGATATTGGAAAGTGCGAGCCCGCGAAGAAACACTTCAATTGAAAAAACACAATGGTTTTCGATTGCACCCCTTTCACGAGGAATATCTTCCTTGTCGGCCACTGACTGAAGTGCGAAGAACACTGTAGCGAGAGCGCCGTTCCTGAATTCGGGTGCCTCTCTGGCCAGGGGCTCTCCGAATACATATGGAGAAATATCGAACGGGAACCCTTGTCGCCGTGTCTGGGCCCCCACCAACTTACTCGCGAGCGAGAGCGCCACTCTTGAGTTCGGGGGCCTCTCTGGCAAGGGCCTTTGCGAATACATATTGATGAAATATCGAGCAAGAACCCCTGTCGTCGTAGTTGGGTCGTCGTAGTTGGGTCTCACGAGAAAGTCTCGAGCAAGAGCGTCGTTCCTGAGTTCGGGGGCCTTCCTGGCCAGGGGCTCTCGGAGCAGATCGTGCGGAAGCATCGAGCAGGGACCCTCGCCGTCGTGGCTGGACGTCCGCCAACTTGACTGAACTGGGGAGACGTCTCGAGCGAGAGCGCCGTGCCTGAATTCGGGGGCCTCTCTGGCCAGGGAGGAGGAGGAGGAGGAGGAGGAGGAGGAGGACGACGACGAGGAGGAGGAGGAGGAAGAGGAGGAGGAGGAGGAGCAGGAGGAGGAGGAGGAGGAGGAGGGGGAGGAGGAGGAGGAGGGGCGGAGGAGGAGGAGGAGGAGGAGGAGGGTGAGCTGTGAGGAGATATCGGGCGGGAGCCGCTGCCGGTGGAGCCGGGCCTCCAAGGGGCACACGCGTACACTCGAACCAACGCTCGCGCGGGAGGCTCACTGTCAGAGAGGAATGCAGCCGGCGTCGGGGCGAGAGCGCGCGGAGCCGCCCGCTTCCGGAGATCAGCAGAGGTCATTCTCTAGAAATGAGCGGGCATTCAACAACAACAATAACAAACAACAACAACCACAACAACAACAACAACAACAACAACAACAGCAGCAACAACAACAACAACAACAACAACAACAACAACAACAACAACAACAACAACAACAACAACAACAACAACAACAACAACAACAACGACAACGACAACGACAACAACCACAAACAACAAACAACAGACAACAACCAGCAACCAACAACGACAACAACAACAACAACAACCACAACAAACGACAACGACAACAATAACAAAAAACAACAGGCAACAAACAACAAACAGCAAACAGCAAACAACAAACAACAGCAACAGCAATAGCTACAAATAACGAACAACAAACGACAACAGCAACAACTACAACAACCAAAACAACAACAACAACAACAACAACAACAACAACAGCAGCAGCAACAACAACAACAACAACAACAACAACAACAACAACCACAACAACAACAACAACACACACACACACAACAAACAACAAGCAACAAATAACGAACAACAAACGACAACAACAGCAACAACAACAAAAACAACAACAAAGAGCAACCAACATAACATCAACACCAACAACCATAATCAATTTCAGACTGTTCGCCCTTACATGCTCGACTGTCCAATAACGCGTACTTCCGAAACCCTCGATACCCGCCCTCTTCGTCTTCGATCGAACCCCTTTTGGGGGGTATACCTTTCTTCCCTGCAGGCCGGGCCCCGGCAAGCGGCGGGGCGGCCGCGGACCGTCGGCTTGGCCAGCGGCAGCGCTGATCGGCGGGGCGGCCGCGGACCGTCGACCCGACCCCAAGAGGGACGGACAGGGGACCGACCACGACGACGACGACGATGTCGACGACGACGACGACGACGACGACGTCGAAGACGACGGCGACGACGGCGACGACGAGCGAAAGCGAGAGCGAGAGAGAACGACAGCAGGGCCACGAAACGCACGAAGTAGGCCACGAAGGGCGACAGCGGGGACACGAAGGCAATGCGTATGGGGCCACGAAGAGCGCGAACGAGCGGGGGGCACGAAGTGCAGATAATGCGGGGCCACAGAAGGCAACTATGGGGCCACTGAGGGTAGCAACTGGGCCACGTAGGACAGTGAGCAGCAGCAGCCGCAACAACAGCAACAGCAACAGCAACAACATCAACAATCATGTTAATACTGATCGCTCACATCTGCTCGCGTGTCACTCAACACGTAATCCCGAACCTAATTACCCGCCCTCTTCGTCTTCGATCGTACCCCCTTGGGGGCATATCTTCCTTACGTGCAACGTGTATTCCGTGCAGCCCCTGAGGCAGGGGAAGAGAGGACGGATGAAGTAAGGGGCTAGGGGAAAGGAGGAGGATAGAGCATGAGAGAAAGTAGCAGAAGGGGGGCTAGGAGAAGAAAGCAAGTGGAAAAACCAGGCGAGCAGATCGGACGGATAGGCCATGCGGGCGGGTCGGGAAGGTGGGCCCAGGCGGCCAGGTCGAGCAAGCGAGTTGCTGAAACGTGCGTCCTGCATGAATCGCGAGGATGTCTCGAGCGATAGCGTGATCTGCAACAGGGCCACGAAGGGCAGCGAGGGGGCCACGAAGGAAGGGGCCACGAAGGGCAGCGACGGGGCCACGAAGGGCTGCAACGGGGCAACGAAGGGCAGCGAGGGGGCCACGAAGCCACGAAGGGCTGCAACGGGGCAGCGGAGGGCAGCGAGGGGGCCACGAAGGGCTGCAACGGGGCCACGAAGGGCAGCGAGGGGGCCACGAAGGGCTGCAGCGGGGCCACGAAGGGCAGTGAGGGGGCCACGAGGGGCTGCAGCGGGGCCACGAAGGGCAGCGAGGGGGACACGAAGGGCAACGAGGGGGCCACGGAGGGCAGCGAGGGGGCCACGAAGGGCTGCAACGGGGCCACGAAGGGCAGCGAGGGGGACACGAAGGGCTGAAACGGGGCCACGAAGGGCAGCGA